TATATTATATTGTATATTTATATTAGGTAGGTAGTTAATATTTTAAAATGCACATCATTGTGTGAATTAAAACTATATTAATGATTCAAAAATAATTCTTGCTCGTGATTTTTGAGTTATCATAAACCTCACGTTATCTAAATACAAATACGCGTGCCTATAATATATTATCAGAACGTTCCTAACATTCCTAACATGAATGGTAAATTATTAAATCAATACTCCACTGAATATGTTATTTCCACGTTTACATCTTATAGAAGGTATAAAAAATATTATAGAATTTCTTATTCAATATCATGATTCGAGATGTGATACATTTCACTAATTTTGAAATTTTTAGTTGAATTAAACGAATTTCTTGATGGTTTTCGAGATTGTTTTTTAAAGATCCTTTGAGATGTTACGTTAAACAATGCTTTGTTGTTTCTGTACATTTTTTTTTAAGTTCATAATAGTGATATTTTATGTTAAAACCATCTATGTATAGATGACAATTCAATGTGGTAAATTTATTTTGAAAAAAAAAAAATTAAATATATTATTATTTTATACAAACACTCTATAATATGAAATTTAAAAATACTTTTTTTCCTGGTTTATAATCATATTTTTGTTTGTCAACTCCACAATAACAATATTATGTTTTTTTAGAACTATTTTTTTTTTTTGTGGTTGGACATATTTTGTATAATATGCCATTTAAAGTTGAGAAACAATTTAAGGATTAATCTGTAGTTTTTGTTCCTTGATTTATAAGTAATATACATTGTGCCTGTATACTTTATCATATTATCATGGTAGACATTTTAATATTTCAACGTTTATGTCAAAGGGTAACTTGGTATATAGAATGCAAACAATTTACTGAATTAAAAAATGCCCTTTATAATAATAATTTTAATATTTATTTTATAACATAATATACAATCATCAGTTTATGTTTTAAGCTGTATGTGTTGTAACCCAATATTCAATTAACTATGACCAAATAACCAACTATAATACACGCATATTGAATAAAATATAATTATAAATATTAAAATAGGTACCATATAAATAACTCAATTTAGTTCATTAAATTATACGAAATTATGCTATTAATGAATAGTCTCTTCAACAAGTCAACCATGTCCAATTACCAATATATTATCATTATCCCCATTGTACTTATTGTAAATATTTTTTTTTTTTTATACAGATTGTACAAATAAAAATAAATATGTCAAAAAAAAAAAAAATTATACGAAACAAAACTGTTCATATATTGATATATGTATATATTATGTTTATATATATTTTTTTTAACCATGATTTAAAAACTTTTATGTAAACAAGCTCTAAAATCTGAATTCATCTGAAATAAAATAGATAACTCATTGTTATATTATTGAATTTGTCGTTTGAAATACCTAAGCTTTTAGTATACATTTATTTAAAGATATTGTATTGATTGTATCTGAAACCTTATTAAAGTAAACGTTTGAATAAATTAGTGTTGTCGTATTTTCTGTATTTATAGTAGCCAATAGGTAACACGTAGTTATTATAGTTATATTTTTTTCTATATATTTTATATTACAATAATAGAAGTAAAAACAATTTGCATGTCTCCAGTCTATAGAATAACATTATTATAAATCTTTATTATTTAATGTTATAATACTTATAATAGTTGTATAATGTAATTATGTAAATATATATAATAATATATTATTATATTTAAACAAGAATAAATTTACATCAAAGTGGATATCTCATTATTTTCCCTTCATGCTCATGTTTTAATCTTTATTGAATTTTTTCCGCATGTGAAAACATTTAAACTTTATGTTTTGTTTAGATTTAAGTTTAAAAATTAAATTGCTTTGATTTAGTTTTGAAAGGACAACAACATGTTCTCAGAGGATTCAAACATATTTTATGCTTGAAAACACTGACGAAGCATCTAAATTAATTTTTCTTATTTTCACGTGAAATGTTTTTTTCTTTTAGCATATTATATCGAATTTTGAACTTTTTTTTTCATGTTTTCTGATAGGTATCTGCCAAAATATAATAACTGATTAAAAGTGTTTTTGACCACACTTTCAAACAATAGTTGTAAATCTTATATTTAATGAATAATATTAGCGTATAAATAATTCACAAAAAAGCCCTATAAGGTAGCTTTTATACCATTATTATTTTATGTTACACATTGATACAATAACCATTAATTAATTATTTTTGATTTTGAATCAAAATGTTTATTGATTTCAGAGGTAGATAGCTAAAATTCACGTAATCAAACGTGGGTATAGGTACAAGTAAAATTATTTGTTCAAGTGCTGTGCAGAAGCACATATATTAATTTTTATTTCAAACAAATGTTCCGGAAATATGTTTTATCTGTATCGTCTAGATTTTTATACGAAAACAAAGTTGTTTTAACAAATTATTTCAATTTTGTTATCAAATAACAAAACTATTATACTCGTTAATAATATATAATGATACTCCCGAGTTAAATTTTAAGTTATATTATATTATTATGCGTGTGATTTATAATTAATACCTATTTATTATGGTTCTTTTCAATAAACTATCTTATCTATTCGGGGTAATGTGGGAGAGCCATTTATTGTACCTATAGCCCTCACGAAAATGATCGATTATAATGATACAACTAATAATACACTAAATATGTCGAAACCATGTATTTTATTATTTTTATATTCTTTACTTAAACGTTATACCTACATGAATACCTTGCAAATTTTCTTCTTTCTTTTTATAAACACACACACACTCGACCATGTATTGATACGCGATAAGCGACATCCTGTTGATGCCGTTACCGATAAAACCACCATTAGTCTCGTTTAAACCAATACCGACAACGGGAAGACAGCATATTATCTGATTAAAGAGGAAACGTTGAAATATATTAGTTACAACATGTTTGACATATTTCCAGTTCGTAACGAGCAGTGAAAAATGTATAATGTATGAAAAATAAAATAAAGATAACAACGTCTTAGAACCAACTTAGAAGTCGTTATTTATTTTTATTCATTTATTGGAATATAATAGTATAGACGCCAAACAGAGGCAGTTAACAATGTGATAAATAAATGCAATGCAGTTAAAAACAAGAAAAACAATAATTTTAGAAGTTTAGTAGGCAAACTTGAACAATAATATTATGTCCATTATTACCATTAGTTGTTTTTGCTATATTATATTACAAATAATGCTAAACGCCAAAACATATTGTCTAAAAAATATATATTAAGAAATTTTTTATTTCATGTTAATAATATTGCATACAACTACCTACTGGTAATCTAAACGCATTTTACATAGTTAGGTTAGGTGGTTGGATAAGTATGTGTAGTCTACATAGCATTAACGCAGCTCTTTATATTTTATTAAAAGTATAATATTCGTATTACTCACATGTATTCGAGATTAACTTCAAATAAGATAGAAAAACGACAGATCATTATGTTGGGTATTTTTTTATTCAGAATATTACCAGTTTCAACTATATATAACAATTATACATAAAATCATAGGTAAAATGGGGGTGGAGGGGGAGGTAAAGAACTCAGACTTTTTTTTTGAATTTTATCAAAATATCTCAAATTTCTCCTAAAAAAAAAAATAAAATGGCAACCCTATTTCTTTATAATATGTCCATTGTCCATATATATAAATTTATCATAATAATATATAATGTATATATTATGCCGATTCCAAAAAGCACAGTAAAACATTGAACCAAAATGGTGTTGATTAGTGAAAAAGCTAAGGATATTCATATTGAACTAAATATTATTAATTTCAGTTGATTAACTTCTTTACATCATACAAAAATTGTACGATATGAACATTTACTTATATGATAAATGATAAATCACAATGTACAAAATACACTCTAAAAAAAAAAAAGCTAAATTAAAGCTAAATTAAAGCTTTATGAAATTAAAATATTAAATTGAAACTATTTACAAACTTATTATTTTTGTCTGTTGATTTAGTAATTTTGTTGCTGGCAATTTTAATTGGGGGTGCAGCCTATGTGAATTGATTATATGACATTATTTCTCTATCTTATCGACAGTTCAAAGATCACCGAACGAGAGGTGCTTTTGGCTGTTTTCGTATGTCACAGTTTGTATCTGTAAGATGAAAATAATATGTAAAGAAATTTAACAAATATGTAGAATATATTTTTGCTATATATTAATATATTATACTGGATATTGTTGTAGGGTGCATCCAAGAATGGTCAGGTTTTGAGTAGTGGTTACTTCGATACCAACTAAATAGTAGGTATAATATATGTATATGTTTTCTGTTGCTTTGAGGTATCTATACGAAGATAAGACGTGACAACCATCCAGTGTCAGATAAGTGCATGCCATGAAAGACGTGAAATTGTTTTTTTTTTTTTTTACATAAGATAATTGCATTTAAAATGTCATTATAAAATCTAAAATCTGTTGTGTGACCATAATTTATTAACGAAAATATTTTTACCTGTATTATGTATAGGTTAGGTTAGTAAATATTTATATTTGATTCTTACTGGAAGTTTTATAATTAGTTATTTATTAATTTAAATCAAAATATTTATTGACTTTGAAGCTGTTATGGTAATACGTAATAACCTATTGTAATTAAACGTTGAATTGAACGTACCTATGAGAGCGTGATCAGTTGTAACAGATTGAATAAATCCAAATCATTGTTTAGCGTTAAAGTCTCTACTACAACTGTAAAATATTGAAAAAATATGAGTTTATATTGAAGGTTACATTTGTGCTCAAAATGTTTGATAATTCAACCATTATAGTCCAACGATAAAAAGTTGTCCCAAACTGCTTTTGGTATTGCAATATGTTGAATAATAATAATACACCTATATAACTTGCTGTTTAAATTGTTTATAAACGTCTTGCAAACATTGTTTCCTTAACCAACCCTTATACACGTGGTTCGAGAGAGCAAGCATGCTGGTCATACTGCTGAACTGTGTTACCTTGGGCATGTATCAACCATGTGTGGACGATCAATGCATATCCAGAAGATGCAGAATTCTACAAGTAATGGGATATTTTAAAAAAAAATTTTGATTTTATAAGTTTTTACTGCAATGGACATGGCGTGACTCTAATGCATGATAATAACGACTGCTTACAGGTGTTCGACGACTTCATATTCGCATTCTTTTCGCTAGAAATGATCGTGAAAATGATCGCCATGGGAGCGTACGGCCCCTGCACATACCTCGCAGACTCCTGGAACAGATTAGATTTTTTCATCGTCATCGCAGGGTACGAAACGATATTACAATACGTTAATAGACTGTTATCATTTTACTGTTTCATTTCGTACCGTAATTATAATATTTCATGAGGGTTCGTGATTAATGGGTTACCCTAAACATGAGCGTTTTAAAATTCCCGTTGATCACGCGGATTAAGCGTCGTCGTTTCGCTATTTACCGCATAATATAATGTGTTGGATTTTTTTTTTTTTGTTATTAAAATTTTTATTCTCTCGCTTTTCAGCGCTTTGGAGTACTGTTTGAATGTGGAGAACATAAATTTCTCTGCCATACGAACAATAAGGGTGCTGAGGCCGCTTAGAGCCATCAACCGAATTCCAAGTGAGTAGAATTTAGTTTCCACATTAAATCGTCCAAGTATGTGTGTACCCGTGAATCATTTCCAACGGTCTGATACAATAAATTATTGTGGACATAATAAATTGTATATTATATTAGGTGTGCAAACACATTTATAAATACTATAAAATACAATTTACTACAAAGAGTATGACGTACTGATAACGAAATATGATGCAGATGAACTCATAGTTATATTATTATTCTTGTCAGTTTTCTCTTTTTGACGGATTCCGTTGCCATAGCATCGACCACATGACGCGTTCTGTGCAGTAAAAATATATTTGGGTTATCGAAATTCAATATCGGGATTCGGCTATATAAATAATCTCTACGGTGGCATGTTTTATGAGTATATAGGTACTGAAAATTAATCAAGCAAGAAGACAAACCGTCGTTCGGTTGTGACGTAAAAATAAAATAATAATTTCACGTCAGCCATTTAGTTCACCAAATTTATAAAATATCACCGTTTCAATTTTTGACATAACCTTAGATTTGAAAATATTTACGACATTATGGTTTATTACACAATAGGTACATATTATATACAAAATATATACAGTATCAAAATATAAAAATAAATGTATGTGTGTTGTAGTACAACTGATGACAATATGTTATAAAGTTATAGACATTTTTAATCTGAAAATATTCAAACAGGTAAAACATAAGATTATTGTTATAAATGTACAATGTTAACAAAACTAAAACTTCGAAATGGAAAATAAATGTTTTAAATTCTGTATATTAATCTAAAATCAATATATTAACAAAAAACCATAATGTTCAAAAGTGCATAAAGGATAGTAAAAATATATCGATCTATTGTCAGAAAACGTAGATAATGTTTAGCCAAATAAAAACAAAAAGACCTTTGTTTACATACTAAATGTTTATTGCCACTTCACAAGGAAACCCTCAATAAGGAACTTTTTTTTTTATATATTTGTATTTTAATGCTTAATTATTTTTTATCATTCTATTGGCATAGATATTTGTGGTTGAAGCCTTATTGACTACCAGCTACTGTCATAATATGTTGGAAGTATTAAGTACCTTATTGGGACTTTTATTGGGCTCATAAATAAAGTGTCTTCTTTTATATATTTTACAATCAATAAAGTAAAGTCCTATTAAAGTGACTTTCAAACATAAGTTTTAACAACTTGATTAATGAGTACTAATATTTTCCCACTAAAAAACATAATATTGCTACATTTTTTAAATTTCTAAGTATGGCATATCTTATTAAAACTTATTCAAATTCAACAATTTTCTAGTTCTTCATATTAAAAAAATGTTTAAATTTGACTTAAGTCGTTTTATTAGGCATCCGTCAGAATAAAATGATTTTGTGTGTCACATTATTATTCATTAAGGTAGATTATATTTCCATCTACGAAACAAGTCGATTTTAACAAACTTAAGTTAAAAAAGGTGGGTAAGTGGATGTCGCTCTGCTGTACTGTAGGTTACAAGTGGGTCACTGTATAATGGATGGTATTAAATTTGAATTCAATGATACAATATCATTGTATAAGAAAAACGATTCTGAGCGAAGACGGTATGTCAGTCTAGGTTTAAGACAAATTATATACATATCTAAGGTATTAAAAAAAAAATTGACCTATAATAAATTCCAAATTAATCATATCACATTATCACAATATCCATTAGGTACTTATAACACGTTATACATCAACATCAATAACAAATCCTGATACTATCATTTATATATAATAGTAAACTTTAGAAGTTTCAAGTAGGTACCCATGAATAATATTATATAATCATAACAAAATAACAAATAACTAGGTTTTTTAATGTGTAATTTCGTCCAAATTTGAACATAAAATGACTATAAAAATAAACTGTGATTGTATATTTTTTTTTAGATTTTTTGGTAAAAAAATTAACTACTTACGTGGAATCTTGTTTTAAATTTTCAATCCTTAGCAATAAAAACTGATTATTTTATAATTTATTAATTACGATGATTAATAATTTTCGAGATTTTGAAAAATTCTGTTAAAATTCGATGTTTAAATGCTTATAAAAAAAAACTGTGCCTATGTATTTTTAATATTTTTCAACTTATATTGTAACAATATATCAGGAGCATTGTATTAAATTTTCACACTTTTTGGCCCAACAGTTAAAACTTTATTGATATTCATAGAAAAAAAAACTAAAAAAATTTAAAAATGAAAATATCCGTAAACAGCTCAAAAAGAGTCAAAATATTTTCAAAATTGTATGGTGTATAGGAAATGCTTATACAAACATTCAGTGAAATTTTCATGTATCTATAGTTATTCGTTTATGAATAACAATAAAATAAGGAAATCGCTACATGAGAAATCGAGTGAACATCCAATGTTGTAAAAATTTGAATTTCAAACGCTCATAAAAATTTAATTTGACTGTCCGGTAGAGATTTTTTTATTGATAAAGGTAGACAAACTTATAAGTAATCTTGTATTACATTTTCAAATCTTAGATTTAAAAAGAAAAATTTTTACGAATACTTAACTCAAAATAATTTGCTAATTTTCGTGATTTGTCAATTTTTGAACTTTAAATGCTTATAAAAAAAAACTGTGACTAACGATTTTTAATATTTTTCATCTGCCTTTGAAACAATATAGTAGGAACCTTGTATTAAATTTTCAAGTATTTCTACTCAACAAACAAAGTTTTATTGATATTTTTAGAAAAAAAACTAAAAAAAAATGGAAAATGAAAATGTCCCTAAACAGTTCATAATAAATCAAAATATTTTGAAAATGTTATCGTGTATAGAAAAGGCAAATATAAACAACCAGTCAAAATTTCATGTTCCTACAGTAATTTGTTTTAAAGTTACACCAAAAACCAAATTCGATTTTGTCAAAAACCTATTTTGCGTAAAAATTCCCGTTTTTCCTTCATTTTTATGTTGTTTTTCCCGGCGCTTGTGAAAACTATTGGGAATTTTAAATTTTGACCTCCCCAATGCACCAACGATATTCACTCTCCAATCGAACAAGATACTGAAGTCGAAAATCGAAGCATTATTTCGACTACTTATCGTGTACACAGACACAAAAAAAAAAAGGTGGGTAAGTGGATGTCGCTCTGCTGTACAGTAGGTTACAAGTGGGTCACTGTATAATTGATGCTATTAAATTTGAATTCAATGATACAATATCATTGTATAAGAAAAACGATTCTGAGCGAAGACGGTATGTCAGTCTAGGTTAAGACAAATTATATACATATCTATGGTATTAAAAAAAATTGACCTATAATAAATTCCAAATTAATCATATCACATTATCACAATATCCATTAGGTACTAATAACACGTTATACACCAACAACAAACCCTGATACTATCATATATATATAATAGTACACTTTAGAAGTTTCAAGTAGGTACCCACGAATAATATTATATAATCACAACAAAATAACTAGGTTTTTTAATATGTAATTTCGTCAAAATTTGAACATAAAATGACTATAAAAATAAACTGTGATTGTATATTTTTTAGATTTTTCGGTAAGAGAATTAACTACTTACGTGAAATCTTGTTTTAAATTTTCAATCCTTAGCTATAAAAACTGAACATTTTATAATTTATTAATTACGATGATTAATAATTTTCGAGATTTTGAAAAATTCTGTCAAAATTCGATGTTAAAATGCTTATAAAAAAAAATTGTGCCTATGTATTTTTAATATTTTTCAACTGATATTGTAACAATATATCAGGAGCCTTGTATTAAATTTTTACACTTTTTGGCCCAACAGATAAAACTTAATTAATATTTATAGAAAAAAAAAACTAAAAAAATTGAAAACTGAAAATGTCCGTAAACGGCTCAAAAAGAGTCAAAATATTTTCAAAATTGTATGGTGTATAGGAAATGCTAATATAAACATTCAGTGAAATTTTCATGTATCTACAGTAATTCGTTTTTTAATTACAACAAAAAAAGGAAATTGCCACATGAGAAATCGAGTGAATATCCAATGTTGTAAAAATTTGAATTTCAAACGCTCATAAAAATTTAATTTGACTTTCCGGTAGAGATTTTTTTATTGATAAAGGTAGACAATCTTATGAGTAATCTTGTATTAGATTTTCAAATCTTAGATTTAAAAAGAAAAATTTTTACGAATTCTTAACTCAAAATAATTTGCTAATTTTCGTGATTTTTCCATATTTTGTCAATTTTTGAACTTTAAATGCTTATAAAAAAAATTGTGACTAAGGATTTTTAATATTTTTCATCTGCCCTTGAAACAATATATTAGGAGCCTTCTATTAAATTTTCAAGCTTTCGCAACCAACAAATAAAATTTTATTGATATTTCTAGAAAAAAAACTAAAAAAAAACTAAAAATGAAAATGTCCCTAAACTGTTCAAAATAAATCAAAATATTTTGAAAATGTTATCGTGTATAGAAGATGCAAATATAAACAACCAGTGAAAATTGCATGTACCTACGGTCATTTGTTTTAAAGTTACACCAAAAACCAAATTCAATTTTCTGAAAAATCGATTTTGCGTAAAAATTCCCGTTTTTCCTTAATTTTTCTTTTGTTTTTCCCGGCGCTCTTGAAAACTACTGGGAAATTTAAATTTTGACCTCCCCAATGCACCAACGATATTCACTTTCCAATCGAACAAGATACTGAAGTCGAAAATCGAAGCATTATTTCGACTACTTATCGTGTACACAGACACAAAAAAAATAAAAAATAAAATAAAAAAATAAATAAAAAAAAAAACACACATCATTGTAAAATCAATACATTCATCGTTTCACTCAGAATCTAAAAACACACATCATTGTAAAATCAATACATTCATCGTTTCACTCAGAATCTAAAACTACAATAATATTATTCACCTAAATTGCTGAATAGATATATTGTTAGACAAATTGTAGAACTGTTTGTTTATTTTATGACGTCGAACCCAGCTGT